GATCAGCTTTCTGCCGTTGTCAGAAAATACCTCATTGGTTTGCAAAGACTAAACAACTCTGATTGGACCATGCTGAAGACTAAAAATGAAGACGTAATAGAAGACTTGTTACACATGTAAGGAAGATTAGCAGCCGATTCCAGTTTTTCTCACGACAATTCATTTTAGTACGTAAGCTAGAAATCAAACTAGTAATCCTTATGCAGCTCACTGAATTCTATCTACTAATGTATTTGGATCTAACACAAAATGAATCAGATTGTAGGGAATTATTCTCGAATGTTACAGTTGGATTCCTTATCGAACATTTTAAAGAGCTTTTGAAAAAACTCGAAAAACCTTCCTTAATGCAGTGCTTCATAACTTTCGACAACGTTATGAAAGCTGGATTGATTCTTGTGATTGTGGAAATCATTTACAACACTATTAATTGGACTCTTAGGCTGCCAAGTCATTATCTGTTTACATTAAGCAATATATTGATAGCACTAATTAATTTCGTTATGAATTATATACAAGCATGCTACTTGACAGACCCCTATTCGATACAAGTGTCGACTGTTTTTTTTAATCTTGTTGTCGATTCTCGTTTCAAAACTAATCAGTCAATATCAAAGTATGTTTCTGGACGTTTGTCTGCTCTATGGGCGGGTTCGCATTGTACAATAAGATGAGCTGCTTTGAAATAATATCTTTTTTCCTTTTATAGCGGTGCTTTTGACCTTCAGCAATCAAAACAAAATATGCATTATTCCGGACGGTGTTGAACTTTCCAATGACTCAAAATTTCTGATAACACTGCAGCTTTTTTATATGATTCTGTTATATTGCTAGCAGTTGTCTTTGGTAGAGATACTTTAGTCGAGTGGATCATACAGCATGTATCATATCCAATGTCAAAGTGTCGAGTTAATTCACCTTATATTCGTTAGTGTTTTGCAAAGAAAGCTATATTTGATGAGTATTATACAAGAAACAAAATACAACAACAATAAAAAAGTTTTTTCGATAATATTTATATAATTGCAAGCTAACATTTCGCAATTTTATAAGCAGTATTTCTGCGAAATTCATTTGATTTATTCGAAAACAAACGGCCACATAACAAGGTGTTTTGGACTGACAAAGCTTTCATTAAAAATAGCCATATCTATGTAGAATTTTGCCAAGAATTTTTTCGGTGAGAAAATAGTTTCTCAAAAATCGATCTTACATGGTTTTCATATGAGGGGGAAGATTCTAGTTGAAGTCAACTTCTCATTTGTGAAAAGCATATATGAACGACGAAGACTTTGAAAATCATGATAAGTCATCGAAACAAAATTTTTCTTATTTTCTTTAACCGATCGAATCTTTCGAATGCAAAAAATCTACAAGTCATTGGTAATTGACTTACTTTTTCAAATTTGACTCACCATTGGATGTGGACATGAGTTTCTCATAATTCTATGAAACATACGAATGATAAGGATATTGTAAAATATGGAAATTAAAGAAATCTTGCTAGTTCTCTAAATTCTGCAGTCAAGGCATTTCTTGTAAAACAGATTATCTTTGGAAGTCTACCAAGATTGGGATCGTCGAGAACTCTGTGGCTCCTTGCAAACCGAGAGATTCTCGAAGTCTTGAGAGCTTTAGGAATCGCGGTTATTCAATGATTTCTGGGAATCGCGGAAAATGTGCCAATTGTCGGAATCGTAAGAATTCTGGGAGTGTTAGAAATTCCATGAAGTCATGGGTTTACAGAAATTTCGTCGTCGTTCATGCAACCTGAAAATGTTGAGACTTCTGGAAATAGCGTCAACCTTGGGAATCCAGAGAATCTTGTATGTTCTAGAAATTCTCGAAAGCTTCTGAAATCTGACATTCTTTAGAAACCTAGAAATTCTGCACATTGCGGCAATATTTAGAATTTTGGGAAATCTACCAATTTTTGGGGTGGTGACAATCTCAGAAATATAGGTAATCGTAGGATTGTTCTTAATTCTGGGCATCTTCTGAAATCGAGAAATACGAGGAATCTTAAGAGTTGTAGGAGCTCTTGGGATTCTGTCAATCTTGATAAGTGTGGCAATTCTCGAGTTCTTACAAATTCTGGGAGCCAGGTGAATATCGTGAAATCTGGCGACCTCGAGAATGCTACAACTTCTCGAAATTTCCCTATTTCTGGCTATTCTAGAAACCTGACGACTCTTGATAATCTGAGAAAAGTGTGGGTGTGTCTCTTCACCGACACCAATGCTCGCATCCATACCAACACTCGCATCTTGAAGAGCTGTTTTCTTCTTCATCTAGCCTTGCTTGATCATGTAATAACATGGTCATTACTGTACAACCAATGCATAAAAAAATATATTTCTCGTATCAATCGTATTTCAAAAAACCGTGCAGTTCTGTAATCAATTTTTCAATTCGTGTACCCTTCATGGGTCAATTTCGAAAGTAGTAACAAAGGAAGAACGGTAGACTTGAGAAGATTTTATAAGACTCAAAATATTTCACATAACTTTAAGAAAATTCGAAGTCTCTGGAGGCTTCAAACGTCTTCGAGATTCTTGAATATTCTGTAAGACTGTAAAGGACTTTAACAGATTTTGAGAGACTTGAACAGTTTTTGAAAGCTACATAAGTTTTTGTGACATTGCTAAATTAGTTACGTCTGATTTATCAAATGCAACAATGCCTTTTCATTAGTGTTTCTTTTTGTCAATATACGTATGTCTTACTATAGCATAAGGTTTATCTAAAGATGTTGTTTTTGGCACTGTGTTGATTCCTACAAGTCTTGACAGCAAAGGTGATATAGTGTCATTTTCCTTTCTTTTCTGACTAGTATGAAACATTACTATTGACTCTCGTTCTTTCAAGAAAGATAGACAGGATAAAGAAAATAGAGGTTCTCGCAGAAAACAAAAGTTCTCATGTAAATGAAAACTGGAAATTGTACCGCTTCAAAAGAATTCATTAAATCTGAGTTGACTGCAAGACGGATGTGCATGTAGGTGTCAGTGTCAAGGTACGCTGAGACTAGGGGAATATCAACACATTCATCCATGTTATACAAAAGGGAAAAAACCGTTTAATTTATCATTTGAAACAGTACGTTCAGAGAATCGCAATAAAACTTGGCGAGAAAAAGATATATTGTTTATACAAACTATATCAGTTTATAGGGAATTTTTTCTCTATCGTATTCTCTAGAAAATATTTAGTGTATAATAACGTTTTTCAAGGGCTGCAAATTATACCAATACTCAAGTATAACACCTCTCTCATGATTTCAAGTTTTAGCAGTAGAAATCTTCTAAAACACTAGGTTTTGTGCAGTTTCTGATGAGCTTTCTAATGATAAGTTTGAAAATCAATTTTGAAACAAAACTCACTGTAATATTTTACCTATATCATAGCATAACAATGGTCAAGAAATCAATTTCTTTTGAAATACTTTACAATTGAGGAAATTATATTTGTTCCTTGAAATACCATGTCAATGGATAGATTTCACTTTACTCGATCTAGTAGTGCGCAGATGGTATGGTTCTAATTCCAGAAAGACGAGCACCTCTGTATGATAAATAGAGGGGCCTCACACTAGACATCTTGAAATATCGAGCATTTTCAGAAGAGAAGTTCTCGTAATTCGACACGATAGTTAAAATTGCTGATTTGTATAAAGAACCTAGTATAAAGTGAAGACTACTACTGGTAAAAAGAAGGAAAACTTTTATCTCTTGTTTGTGCTCCGCAAAATCAAGAAATGCGAAAAAACATCAGATTTTCTTGGTCATTTTTGAACTATGTATATATATAAAGAGTGTCCCATAAGTTGTGGAACTCAAGAAAAATGAGTTTATATGTAAACCAAGAATGATTCCTGCCCAACTATATTCATATGAGCTTCGAGTACTCAGAATGATGTTTTAAATGGCATTATCTCGTTTAATAATAGTGATATTAGCAGAAGAAACATGGTAATTAGACTGTGGGTACAGGATATAATCATATTCATATGTAGGCTCACTCTAGATACTACGTTTCAATATATATAATTGTGTTATATTACATACGATAAATTCATAGTTCGTTAAAACTTCTAAAATAAGCACTGATTTATTCCATACTTTTATGAAAATGTCAATTTTTATTGAATACTTATATTCGAAGAAAAAATATTGGCTCGGATGCAAATTTCAACAGTTAAAATCGCACAGGACTGTAATCAAACATCTTCGATTGAGTTTTGTTTATATAATTTACCATTTTAATAATTCCATCAATTATTTGTAAAAATGGTAACAACTAGGAAATTTCTCAAAGTAATACTGCATAGCCATCATCTATTAAAAAAAGTATGATCAATAAACAATTTTTGTTTAATAAATTTATGAATTTAAAATTACGAACAAACATTCAATTATTTGTTTTAATAATGACTTTATTTATTTCAAAGTAATCATATTTATATATGAGATTGTTTTTAATGACAATGTAAAAATCATGTTTGTTGAATTTTTTTTTTGTTTTCGATTTCTTACACATGATCAATGCAATGACGTATGTTGACTTTTTCCATTCCTGGAGAGTAAATGATAGTCATGCAATACCGACAGCAGCATATTTATTGGCGAATGCCAACCTTTGCAACATAAGTATTTAAAAAGTAAAAAAAAGTTTATTTTTCGTTTTCTTCATTGACTTAAACCATGGTTATTCCACTCGTTATTTTAAATTTTATTCAACGAGCCTATGGTAATGAAATGGAACTAAAATCCATTGCTTTAATTGTTAGTTTAGCAGTTGCTTCTGAAATAACATATAAAAATCGTCATCGAGAAATATTACTATGTTTAACAAGTGGTTTATTAGCTTACTTGCTCATGTATTTGTGTTTTCTACCACTTTTGCTTGTATATCTACGACCAATACTAAGAAAATTAATGCAAATGTGGTTTTCTTTTTTCAATGCATTTTTTGACAATATTCTTCGACCATACAGTAAAAAATTATACCAAATGTTACCATCAACTTGGACATTCGAATCTGAAGATAAAGCATGGCCTATTACAAGTATTCAATTTACAATAAAAATTATTTCACTTAGTACAGCAGTAGTTTTATGTCTTAATATTTATTCATATCTAATTTTTGGTATGATTATTAATTTATATATTACAATAGTTATAATATTAGTTGTTATAAGAACATTATGGAAATTTTTTGATGCTATTGATCTTAATCTTTATCCATTAATATTTATTCTTACTATTCTACATTTTATAACACCATCAAAATCATTACTTTATATTCCTATAATATTATTAATAACAGTATATCTTTATCCGCGTTTACATCGATTATTAATTTGTAATTTTATCAATCAATTTATTAATGAGATTCAATTAATGAATTTTCGAACATATTTCGAATTAGATAATACATATAAACAATTTTCGGCTGAAATTATCAATTTATTAATAACAATTTGTTTAATATATCGTATCTTTTTTTTTTTGTTTAACAAATAATCTATCTTGGATATTAACAATATCCCTGGTTAGTTTTTTATCAATTTGTATGTATACAAATTTAATATGTTTCATATCAATACTACCAAATTTGATGATGTTTATCTTTTCATCGATACTAATAAGTGAATATGTTTTATATGGAAATTTTAGTTATAAATATTTTTCATTAATCATACTATTAATATTGTATTTTATTTTTATTTATCCATCATTCTATGTTATATTTCGTCGTTTAACGATCGGATTATCAAATTCAATAGGATTAAAATTAAAATTAATTCGTGAAAATATACATGAAAAATGTTTTCAACGTTTTTATAATAGATATAATTCATCTAAATATTATTCATCACATTCATCCAATAGTTCAAACGTTTTTTATGAATCAATAACATATGTATTTATTATTTTCTTAAGATTATTTCGTGTTTCATTTAGATACCAATGAAAAAAAAAAAAAAAAACTTATTTAAATGAACGATTGAGAACGCATTTTTAATTTTAAAAACTTGTTCCAGACCGTTCTTTGTCGTAAATTTTTTTCATGACTAATATTAATTGATTGATAAATATGATTTAGATATACTTAGTTTATTAATGATATTATGCAGAAATATAGCAAGAAATAATTAATAATAAAATATGAAATTGTTTAATAATCGAAAACATATTTTATATTTTAAATAAATAAAGCCTTGTTTTTACTTTTATTTTTTTATTTATTGTATTATCAATTAAATTGAAAATATTGTTATTAAATCTGCACAAGATGAATCTATTTATCTCTCTGAATACAGGCTATGGTAATTATTGCTCATTCATTTTGTCTATAATGTCTCGAACAAATCGGTATACTTAGTCTGAAGTATAAGGATTATTACTCATAATCATCTCGAAAATAAGTGGGAAATAATGTCTGTATCGATTATTCTCAATGCTTTGTTCCGAAATAAAATGTTTTTAGTGGTATTGCTCTCAAATATATCGTCTAAAAACAGTAAACTCGATGTACAGATCACTAGATTGAACTTCCTCAACTATAAAAAGAAAGAACCAAAATACTACAATGAAGAGTTGACTTCAACTGAAGATGATGAAAATATATTACGGAGAAATCAATGCTGATATTTAGTGATTTAGTAATCTAATTGTTTCGATAGTTAATAACATTTAAATCGTATGTCACTAGTAATTTTGAATGGTAATACATTCATCAATCACAATTTTTTAAAGAACTATACAATCAGAGAATGAATTTTATTCTCAAATGATCCATCTATCTAAAAAAAAAAATTTTCGAAAATCATCAAATCGAAGAAATTCAGTCTTACAAAATACAAAATTAAATAAGATATCACTTGAGCAGTTGTCTGATGATTAAAGTGATTTTTTTTCGTAACATATAAAACTATCTGGATAATAAAGTAGTCACCAAAATTTCCATAACTAGGTAATAAGTATCTAAATTTGAATCTTTTCGCCTGTTATGTTTATTTTAAGCACAGCTCGGTAAACTCTGATCGAAAGCATTAATCCAATATCGATTGACATTAATTGTATCGAATTTCGAAAAAAAGCAAAACTTTTTTCTTTCAACCTCAAACAGGCTTTTTTTAATACTTTTCTGCTTTGCTATTATTTTTCAATATTAAAAAACTCAACAAAATATATGTTTAGATTTTCTTCAATGATATTTATCGAAAACTCGCCAAAGATCATATATCATTCTTAAAAGGTCTACTTAAAGCAAATTAAAATATTCCTGAACTTGATATCAGTGATCAAAATAATAAAAAGAATATAATGAATGAACAAATAAAATAAAACTGCAGAAGTTTTTTGTTTGAATAATCAAATTTTTCATGTAATTCGTACTCCTCTGATAGTCAAATATTTGAATTTTTTTTAAATTAAGTAGAGAGTTTTAGTAAGAAGATAAAACAAACACAAAGTTGTTGAAAAAAAAACACTAACAACCAATATAGTAGCATAAATGTAAAAAAACAACATGATTATTATACTTATTTATTATATCCATTCTTATCTTAATGTATATGAGTGCTCAAAAAACATTCTCAACTATTTATAATTAAATCTTTTAATACTATATGATAAAATGGAAGAAAAATATTAGAAGAAACAACGCGAGATTAAGAGAAAATGAACAAAATCTTTTGTTCCTTTATATGATATTGATAATTTTTTGTATTGTTCAATTTTTGAGTTTACCCTTTTAATTATTTCTTCATATAAAATGTTGGAACTATGAATGAATGATTGTAAGTTTTTGTAATTAATGATATAACAGAATATCACTTGTTCATTACAAGAATTCTTATTGAAGATCACCCAATCACCATTCAGAGATGTCCATCCCGGCTGAAAACCTGCCGCTGCCGCGCCGCTGC